GTCACGGCATTTGTAGGATCACTCCAGCTGCCAGTGCAAGCTGGAGTCCGCAGCGATAAGCGCGGAACGAGCGAACCCTAAACCCGAACGAAACCCTAAACCCTAAACTCTCAAGCACCGAACCCACCCCCACAAAAATCGCAAAAAACAAAACCTTCAAGCCCCCAGAGCCCCCCCCCCCCCCCCCCCAAAAAAAAAAAAAAACAACAAAAACACACACACACACACACAAAAAAAAACAAAAAAAACAAAAAAAAACAACAACAACAACAACAACAACAACAACAACAACAACAACAACAACAACAACAACAACAACAACAACAACAACAACAAAGATGAGGGCCGGACTTCCCTGGTCCCTGGCAGCGGCAGGAGGGCGTGCGGAAGCAGCGCGAGATCAGGTCGTGGAGGTCGCCCTGATTCCTGGGGGGCAGGAGAAGGGCTAAAAAAGAGAGAGTCTCTGGAAATGCCCCCCCCCCCCCCCCCCCCGCCCCACAAATAAAGGAAGTGGTATGTATGGGTATATATATATACATATAATTTTATTTATTTATATTTATATAACATTATATGGGTGGAGTAGCATGTGTGTCTGTATATATATATATATGTATATACAGACGTGTGTGTGTAGGTCATGTAGCGTGGTGAAGTTCAGGCATTTTATTTAATGTAGCCCTCAAGGAGCCCCAACATGTCCTTTGGTCGCTTGTTGGGGTACCCTACACCGTAAAACCCTACAAGCAAAGATCCCAAACCCTGAGCCATGGACCCTGAACCGAAGCCCCAAACCCTGAACCCGAAACCCTAAAAGGGTCGAAGAACCTAAACACTGAGCCCTGAACCCTAAACCCTAACCCTGAACCCTAAACCCTAAAGCCTAAAGCCCCAAAACGCTAGACCGGGTAGCCCGAGGTTGGTCTTCTGTGAATCTGAGAGCGGCCCAGCGTCATGAAAGGCATAAGGACATAGTCGTTACCTTCCGGCAGAGCTGTGCTTCAAAACCCAAACAAAACAGAAATCTTCTTCCTTGTACGGGACGATAGGTATTACATTATGCTTTTTGCGGCAAGCAGCAGTTTCGTTGGTCTTGGGCCGAATTGTGGTGTGCCTTTGTCTGAAGGTTCTGCCCAAAAAGGGGGGGGGGGGGTACAGGACAGGTGGGGCTTGAGGTGTAAGTGTAAGGCTAGGGAGCTCGGGGTTTGTCGCGCTTGGTGGAGACGTGTTGTTGGCGGTATCACATTCAGCCTAGACCTCAAAGGGCTTGAAGGCTCCGAGCCCTAAACCCTATAAACCCTAAACCCTAAACCCTAAACACTAAACCCTAAACCCTAAACCCTAAAGGGACTTCTGGGCACCCTGGTCCCAGGCCGAAATGCTTGAGCCCGTTAGCCCGTCAGCCGCTGAAACCCTAAGCCGTTAACCAATTCACACATTCGCCCAGTACCTTAAACCCCACAACCTTTCAACCCCTAAACCCTGAACCTAAGAAGCCCTAATCCCTAAACCCTAGACCCTAAACCCCTAAACTCTAAACCTCTCAACCCTTAAACCCTAAACATGTCAACCCCTAAACCCCTAAACCCCCAAGAAGCGCTAGTCCAGGCCTTGGGAAAGGACGTGGTCTGGCTTTCCCACGCTGCTGGAACCTCTCTCTGTAGCGCTTTTGCTACTATTTGCTTAAGAACCCCAAAAAGCAAAAAAAACAAAAAGCACAGATTGTTCCTTTCAAGGACAATATCGGGACCATTGTCTTTCATTTTTTGTGGGTGCTTAAGCACAAAGAGTGTTTAGGGCTTTGGGCTTGATGGAGGGTTTAGGGAGGGCTGGTGGAGCGCTGCGGGTTTGAGGATTTAGGGCTTTGGGCCTCCCTAACCCTAAACCCTATAAACCCTATAAACCCTATAAACCCTATAAACCCTATAAACCCTATAAACCCTATAAACCCTATAAACCCTATAAACCCTATAAACCCTATAAACCCTATAAACCCTAAACCCTAAACCCTCAGAGATGTGTAGCGTTTTGGGAGGGCTTCAGGGTTTGGGGTCCAGTTGAAGCTTTGAGTGCTTCGGCCGTAGGGATGCTCGGGGATTCTAACATCCCTTCATGAGGGTTCAGGGTTCAGGGTTCAGGGTTTAGGGTTTAGAGTTTAGGGTTTCAAAACCTGGAATCGGGATCCTACTGTTCTTGTAAGATTGAAGGGTAGCCTGGGCTCCTGCGTAAGCTAAGGCGCTTCTGAACAGGTGCTTCCAGTGTTCTTAATTTTTGTTGGCTGCCGAAATCTTCAATCCTAAACCAGAAGCCCTTGAAGGATCTGGTGCTTCCTCTGCATGCAAGGGATTCATGAGGGTTGGGGGTTAGAGGTTGGGGGTATGATTTCATCAGCCCAGCAGGGGCTGCAGGCGTCTGGAAGATGTTTTCCCTAGACCCTTCAACCCTACTCAACCCTAAACCCCTGAATCCTAAACCCCTGAATCCTAAACCCTTAAACCCCACGACGTCGTCGAAAATCCGGCAGAAACTCCGGCACAAGGGCTGCGCAGGCCTACGCGCCTGTGCAGGTGTCAAAACCCCAAACCCCAAAACCCCAAAACCCCCAAACCCCAACCCCCCAAAACCCCCCAAAACCCCCCAAAACCCCCCAAAACCCCCCAAAACCCCCCAAAACCCCCCAAAACCCCCCAAAACCCCCCAAACCCAACCCCCCAACCCCCCAAACCCCCCAAAACCCCCCAAAACCCCCCAAAACCCCCCAAAACCCCCCAAACCCCAACAACCCCAGCAACCCCCAAAACCCCCTAACAACCCCAAACAACCCAAAGCTTCTTTCGAACCATCAACCCCTTTTGAAGCCCGCATCCTTGGGCCTCTTGCCGTCTCTTGCACCAGGGTCTGAACAGACTCGTGCAAACTCTTTGGCTGCTCTTGGCAGGGTAGCTATAAATCTAATTTTTAGCTGCCTTCTTAAGAAACCCAATAAACCCAAAAAAACTAAAGATGTAAAGTTACAGTAAAGCACCACAAAGAACTCACGCTGGTCATGCTGATGTGATAGGATTGCGGGGTCTCGGGGCAGTCGGCGTCGTCGGCTGGCAGCACGCTGAGAAACGAAATCTCTTTCTTGCAAGCCACATCCACGCCAAGGTGACTTTGGGCATTGGGGTATTAGGGTATTCCGGTATTCGGGTATTGGGGAGTATAGGGGTTAGGTCCTTCAGCTTTTAACCCTAAACCCTAAACCCTAAACCCTAAACCCTAAACCCTAGATTCAGGTCACCGAAACCTGGTAAAGCCCAGTGCAGCACAGTGGCAATAGTCGCTGACCCCCTTCATCTCTCGAAGCGCCTCTGCCTGTCGCCACTGCGGAAAAGTACCAAGGCCCTCGATCAAGCCTAAACCCTAAACCCTAAACCCTAAACCTTAAACCCTAAACCCTAAACCCTAAACCCTAGCCCTAAACCCTAAACCCTAAACCCTGAACCCTGAACCCTGAACCCTAAACCCTAAACCCTGAAGAGCCTATATCATGGGATTGAAGGTGGTACGATTGGATGCTAAAAATGCATTGGGGTTTAGGGCTTAGGGCTACGGAAGGGCATGGTTTGGGTGTGAGAGTTCTGGGTGTTGGAGCGGTTGCTGCGCTCCATGAAGAACTTCGACGGCGGACAGCAACCTCTTGCACGTATTTGGTTGGTTTCTAATAGCAGGTTGCTGTTGCTCCCCAAGCCCTTTGGGCTTAGTCAACATGCAAGAGCTTGGGTTTGTGGATTCGGGTCTTACGGATATCACACTCAAACCAGAAAGCCCTCTGTTAAGAGCTTCCAGGGTGCTTGCCTTAAGAGCTCTGCAGCCCAGGTTTGTCAGCCTCCCTAAGCTTTGGGATCAGGGTTTAGGGCGTAGGGCTTAGGGTTTAGTGTTGAGGGTTTGGGTGACCCTAAACCCTAAACCCTAAACCCCAAACCCCAAACCCTAAACCCAAAAGGAAAGTGAACAAAGGTATCCCACCTCCTTCTTGGCAGAGTGTGAAGCGCGCATGACCTGCTGGATCAGGGTTCGGGGTAAAAAGGGCCCCCAAATCAGGCCCAAATGGGGGACCCCAGGATCGGCCCGAAAGTGGTCGATTTCCAATTAGTTAAAAGAGAATTCATACGGCAGAAACGACCCCCGAATTTTCCAGATTTTGGCCATTTACGGGAAGGCCCCTTACGGGGGAAGGCCCCTTACGGGGGAAGGCCCCGTACAGGAGGCCCCTTTACGAGCAGCCTCCTAAACACCAAATCATAAATCCTAAATCCTAAATCCTAAATCCTAAATCCTGAAGGATGCGTGGTTCTAACTTTAAAACCGAGGGTTTGGGGATATTCTCTTTGGGGCCAGACTGACGCTGGCACGCGGGTTCCACCCTTCTATGCGTGGGCCGCGCTCATCGCTCGCACTGGCCCCGAGCCCTCGCCAGGCTTCGCCGGACGGCTCGGGCTCGTCCGCGGGCTGTCGCCACGCGGTATCGCTCGCTGCTGCTTATCGCAGGACCCGCAGCTCGCTTTAGTTTAGGGTTTAGGGTTAGGGTTTAGGGTTTGAGGGTTTAGGGGGTTTAGGGGGAGGGGGGTTCATGGGGGAAGGTGTTTAGTGCACCTTAGGGGGAAGCTTACGGAGCCTTAGGGAATGGTCGGGAGATTGAGGGAACCTTGGATCACATACCCCCCCTTGATTGAGGACCCTATAAGCAAAGGGCCCCTGCCCTAAACCCTAAACCCCAAACGCCCCCCTCTCCCAACAAAAAAGAAGTACATAACAATAGAAAATGACAGCAACTGCAATATAAAATAAAACTAAAAAAACACACACCGGTGATTAAAGCCCCCCCCCCCCCCCGTAAGGCGCCCCCCCCCCCCCCAAAAAAAAAGAAGATAAAACAACAAAAACAGGTAAAAAAATAAATAAGAAAAACAAATCATACATGTGTATATGTAACCATGATAACAAATACAACCTTTTTAAAGCCGCAAGGCGCCCTCCTTGCAGATGCTCACATCGCCGCTCCTTTGGCAGCTCAAGCCGCGGGCGCGGAGCACCGAGGAGGAGAACGAGGAGCGGCCCCTCACGAGGACTGGGGCATCCATCATCCTGAGGTTTAGGGTTTAGGGTTTAGGGTTTAGGGTTTAGGGTTTAGGGTTTAGGGGTTGGGGTTTAGGGTTTGGGGTTTGGGGTCTAGGGGGGGTTTACGGTTTGGGGTTTGGGGTTTAGGGTCCAGGAATTTTTGGAGGTTCAGGGGTTTTGGGGGGTTTAGGGGTTCAGGGGTTTTGGGGGCTTAAGGGTTTAGGGTTCAGGGTTTGTTGGGGGCTAGGGAGCTTAGATTTTTGGGTTCGTCCTGGGGTTGGGGCTTCTGGGTTTCGGCTTTGGGGGCTTGACGGTTGAGTCATGGGCTTATGGGTTTCTGGGTTTAGGGTTTAGGCCCCACAAATTACCTATGACTGAGAGGACATCCTACAGCTGTGAAGGTTTTGAGGGAACCGTATAGCCCTACTGTAAACCTTTAGCCCTAAACCCTAAACCCTAAACCCTCAACCCTAAACCCTAAACCCCAAAGCCCCCAAACCCTCCAAACCCCAAACTCCCGAGGCCGCGAGTCGCGAAGAGGTCGAGGAAAGCGGCGTCCGCCGCCAACCGCCCGCCCGTCTGAGTGTGCGTCGACTCTACAGGCAGCGCTGCCGCTGTCACGAGGGTCCTCAAAAGAAGCTTCTGATTAGAATCCCTTGGGTTAAGGGGCTTTAGGATTTAGGGTTTAGGGGTTAGGGTTTAGGGTCCTCAAAAGAAGCTTCTGATGAGGTACCCATAGACTAATTTTTCTTGGGTTGAGGGGCTTTAGGATTTGGGGTTTACGGGTTAGGGTTTGGCTTTAGTAAGGGTGGATATAAGGTACCTAGTTCCTACTACATTTTATGGCTTATATAGGGTACTTCATTCTCTCATTCCCTACGAAGAGCCTGAATAGGCTTAGGCTTATGGTGTAGGGTGCAGAGCTTTGGGGCTTATGACTAGGGCTTAGGGTTGAGGTTTTCAGGAACCCTAAACCCTAAACCGAAAACCCTAAACCCTAAACCCTAAACCCTAAGGGGTGCCGCCCACCTCGCCTTGTCGACTGTTGCTGGCAACTACGCTTGACCTCGGCAGAGGTCGTCGCGAGGTAGATGGATGACATCCTCCTTGGGGTTTAGGGTTTAGGGTTTAGGGTACGTGAACCCTAAAAGGGTCGAAAGGTTCAGGTACCTTATACTAGGAATTCTAGTAGTAGCAGGCTGAAGATGACCCCCAACTTGTAGGGGAACATGTGGTCCCCGAGATTCTCAGCGCTGATGTTCAGGTCGGCCGGCTGCACCCTGTAGGCCGCTTGGAGGTACGTGCGGCACAGCTCCTCGGGGGTGCGCTGCAGATCTTCGATGTGGCTGCAGTCTGTACCTTGTGGTAGCCACTATAATAAATGATGAGCATACGATTTTTGAGGTTGGTTATAGTTCTTCACAAGGGAAGCCAGAAGAAAACAAGAACAAGAAAGTGGCAAAAGTGGCCAAAGGGTACCGCTGGGCTACCCAGGCACCTTGACTGCAGTACTTCTTCAAATCGTTGGGCGTGACCGTCCGGATGTGCATGGCCGTGTAGGGCAACCTTGGGTGTCCAGTACCTAGGGGAACTGAAGGTGAGGGTTTAGGGTTTAGGGTTTAGGGTTTAGGGCTTAGGTTTCAGGGTTTAGGGTTTGAGATTCTACCTTTGGCATTATAAGGGGATTATCAGGGGATGATAAGGGGATTTTAGGGGAAATTACTACTACCCAAAAGGTTAAAGGTTACTCACTCTACTGCTAAGCAACCCAGCCAGCAAGGGCAGCCGGCTTTGTAGCTGTGCGGCAGCGTAGGGCGAGCGCTTGTAGAGGGCATTCCATCGGCACTGGCGGGACTCTTCTATACTTCCGGAAGGGACAAGTCTGGAAAGGTCCGCCACAAATCTCCGGAAACTCCGATACTGCTGCTGGAGCTCAGCGCAGGTGACGTTTCCAATCATCGCAGACAGTCTGCGCGTCGCCGAGGGGCCGAGGAGGAAGGCCCCGTCCTTCCAGAGGCACGTCGAAGTCGAGGGACGAGGCACCGAGTCGTCCTATGGAGTATGGGGCTAAAGGTTGAGGGTTGGGAGAGACGTCGGGGATTCAACCCGGAACTAACATAAGGTGTTAAGATTCCATCTTTGAAGGCTCTGCGACTGGGGGTCCTGGCAGGCGAGGGTCCAGTTGATGCATGACGGCTGCAGCCAGCTCATCATTTCCTCGGTTGCCCCTCAAAACAAGCTGAATTTGGGGGATGCTCCCCCTTGTACGAACAGTTCTTGATAGGGACTGTCATAGAGGGTACTAGAATCCCTATGAAGGACTGCTAGTATAAGGGGGAACATCCCAAAATCTGAACAATATTCCGAAGATTTCCAGAGTATGTAATCCTCTTTTTAGCCATATCAATCAGGGAAAATACAAAAAGGCCCCCCATAAGGCCAACCTCGTGTCTTTGAAGCGAGCTATTCGAGTCCTGATCGTCGCGTTCAGGTGCAAAGCGACCCTGAGCACCGCATCCACCTCCTTCATGTGGTTGCCGACCTTGGGGACGAGAAATGAACCCTAAAAGGGTTTATGGTTCATATACCTTCATAGGGATTATAGTAGTATAGGGTATATGAAGCAGGGTATATATTTCTATTTTTGGTGAGTGTATACAAGGTTCCTTTTTAAGTAATATTGGTGAGTTTATATACCGGGTGTCCTTTTGGGGATACAAGAAATATAAACCCTACTTCATATGACCCCAATTTTAGGGTTCCTTTGGTGCCCCAAGGGACGGATGAAACCGCGCTGTGGCAGAGGATTCCGTGCGGATGCTTCAGAGCACTCAGCCACTGCCGCGAGACCCGGCAGAGCTCGTGTCTCGGAAGCCTTGCATACCTTGGGGGCACAAAAAAAATTGGGGGTCATGCACCCCATACACCATGAAATTTCTACTCAGGTATAGGAGCCATGAACCCTTTTAGGGTTCATCATTTAGGGTTTAGGGTTTAGGGTTTAGGGTGGTCCCCGAGGTACTGCGACTGGGCATCCCAGAACGAGTCGCACCACGTCAGTGGCTCAGCTTCCGCCAGGGTCTCCGTGGTCACAGGGGGCGCTCTTCTGCGTGTCCGAGGTGGCGCTGCGTCCTTATTCACCAGCAAAAAACTGTACTTATAGCACCACTTTACAAGCCCCTTGAGTGATATGGCCCACTTATAAGCCCCCTATAAGTGATATGGTCATAATTTTGGGCCATAAAGTAGAGTGACTATTTGTAGCTTGTTAGATAAGTACCATGAACCGGGCTTCGCCTGGCACGGTGATCATGGGGATCACCACCACGGTCGTTGCGGCAAGCGCGGCAAGCAAGACAAGAAACAGCGGCCTTTGGCAAGCGTGGAGGAACATGGGCCGACGCTTCGTCACCGCAAGCTGCAAGACGACATCTCCAGAGTTCGGGATGTCAGCAAACCCTAAACCCTACTTGGAGGTTCAGGGCACTTATTAACCAGTGATAACTGTACTTATAGCCGACTTGTAAGCCCCTTTAGTGATATGGTCGTAATTTGGGCCAGAAGTACAGTTGTCATTTGTAGTTTGTTAATAAGTACCATGAACCTTCAAGCACCCTACCAGACCACTGGGGCTGAATAGGGAATGAGGGAATTAAGCATCGAATCCCTTAACTGGGCTTCTATAGGGGGATATAAGGCGCCTAATTCACTCGTTCCTAGACCCAAAAGCAACCGAAGAACCCTTTTGGTTTAAGGGGGAGGGTTTAAGAACATAAGGGACCCCCTCTAAACCCTAAACCCTAGACCCTAGACCCTAGACCCTAGACCCTAAACCCTAAACCCCAAACCCTAAACCCTAAACCCTAAACCCTAAGCCCAAGCTGCAGGCTTGATCCAGAGGGAGCGCAGCGAGCTCAGAAAGTGGCAGCAGATTCTACTTCCAGTGAAATAACAGTGCTGCGGTGCAGGATTTAAGGTTTAGGGGTTTAGGGTTTAGGGTTTAGGTTTTACGGTTTAGGGTTGAGGGTTTAGAGTTTAGGGTTTCGGGTTTACGCGTTAGGGTTTGGTGTTGAGGGTTTGGGGTGGAGTGCAAGGGCTTACCTTATCCGTTTCTTGGGGTTTCACACTATATAGGCAGTTGAGTTGTGCTAGCACAGCTTAAACCCTAAGACCTGTACCCCGAATCTGAAAAAACCTTAAACCCTACAACCCCCTAAACTCGAGATGTTCCCCCTTAGTCCTGAACAGGGGTTTAGGGTTTAGGGTTTAGGGTTGTAATCGGGGGTACGATCATCCCTCTTAAAGAGTGTTTGTACAAGGGGGAACATGCCAACTTAAACCCTGCAAGCCCCTAAGCCCTGAACCCCAAAGCCATCAAATCGAACACCTACCTGACACCCTACAACTCCACTCAACCCTTGCTAGACCCTAAACCCTAAACCTTAAACCCTAAACCCTAAACCCTAAAAAAGGTTCAAGCTGGCCTTCATCGCCACCTCTGCACCGCTGCTGTTGCCACAGGTCACCTTGATCTTGTACACCTGACCACCGGGGAGGCGCAACCAAAACTCCTATGCCCTGAGCCCTAAACCCTAAACCCTGAACCCTGAATCCTAAACACTAAACCCTAAACCCTAACCCTAACCCTAACCCTAAACCCTAAACCCTAAACCCCTGAAATTAGGTTACTGGCCCCTGCGGTGTGAAACCCGTAGAGAAGTGGAGATCCTTTTTCTGTGGGATCCGTTAAGGAGCTTTGGGGTATAGCCGGTCCCACAGAAGGCCCAAACCACCAACTGGGAGTTAAGGGGATTTAGGATCTAGGGTTCAGGGTTTGGCGGTTTAGGGTTTAGGGTTTAGGGTTTAGGGTTTAGGGTTCAGGGTTCAGGGCTTGGGGAATCTGAAATCGGAACCCAGCAGGGATGTGCATACTGCAGCTAGGCCAAGCAGCCGCAGAAGTAGTAGTCAGTATCTGCAGAGAGCCCAAGACCCCCTAGGCACCCTAAACCCTAAACCCTGAACCCTGAACCCTGAACCCTAAACCCTAAACCCTGAACCCTAAACCAAAAACCCTAAACCCTAAACCCTAAACCCCAAACCCTAAACCCTAAACCCTAAATCCTAAACCCTAAACCCTAAACCCTAAACCCTAAACCCTAAACCCTAACCCTAAACCCTAAACCCTAAACCCTAACGCCCAAAGGACGCATGATGATGATGACGATGACTCAAAACCCTAAGCCCTCTTAAAAACCCTAAACCCACTGCTTGAGGCATACAAAAAAAACTATTGTGTGTACCGAGTGCTGCGGCACTGTACTTCCTGGGCCGAAGTCAGTGGCTCCCTTTCAATCGGGATCTAACTTGGTAGCCCGGTCACCATACTGTAGTAACGGCCACTCGCCCTTTTTCGGTTGTGACTTTACAAAAAAAACCCTTGAACCAAAAGAAGGGACAAGGGTACCACTGGGCTACCAAGTCATGCGCGGATTCGCTGACAGGACACTCCTGACTCGGCTGCTTTGAATCGGAAAGTAGGTGCCACATATCCCCGTGTTCCCCGGCTGAGAGGCGACCGAATGTCCCGATCCCAGCCCTTGAACCGAACACCCAAGAACCCTAGACCTCGGCACCCTAGAACCGCCTAGAACCCTAAAAAACCCAAGAATCCTGGAACCTGAAGCCGCAACCCCCTAAACCCTAAACCCTAAACCCTAAAGTGGAAGCTGAGTGCGAGTCTGTGCCAAAAGCGCCATGCGCCATCCGACCGGCGACCTCGCGCGACTGGCACGGACAAGCTACCCGAAATGCTAGACCCCAAACCCTAAACCCTAAACCCTAAACCCCAAACCCTAAACCCTAAACCCTAAATCCTAAACCCTAAATCCTAAACCCCAAACCCTAAACCCTAAACCCAACCTGATGGAGCCCGCAGCTTGGAATCTACCTTGAACCCGGCTTTGTGCCCCTGACCTTGGTGTTCTCGGCGCCATGCCCCCGGAATCACTGAAGCAGAAGTCTATAAAGGTACCCCAAGCCCGAAACCTTAAACTTTAGAAGCCCTAAACCCTAAACCCTAAACCCTAAACCCTAAACCCTAAACCCTAAACCCTAAACCCTAAACCCCAAACCCGGGCCGGCGACCCGCAAAGGTTGGAAAGCGCAAGGTTTGGAGAGCTCACGGCCTGAAAGCTCCAAATCTCGCGCTTTCCTCAAGGGACTAAAGGAGGGACCCTTATAAGGGTTTCGGGTTTAGGGTTTAGGGTTTAGGGTTTAGGGTTTAGGGTTTGGTTATTCAGGGGCTACTTAAGTATATAGGGACTATATGAGGCATATATAGGGGGAAATATAGGGGAATAAGATTAGGGGTTCCTTCTAGGGGGTCCCTCCTTACACCTCGTAATTTTCAACTTCCTTACCCAAAGGACCCTTCTGGCCGAATAAGAACTCTTTTCAGCCTCTCACCAGGGTTTAGGGTTTAGGGTTTAGGGTTTAGGGTTCGCAACCAGGGATTTAAGAAATATCTGAAACTCTAAACAAGTCTTGCGGCTTTCTGGGTATCAAGTTCGACCGTGCCCTGTTGTTGGGGTTGGTTTCTTTCCAAGGGAACCTCGCAACAACAGAAGGGGCCAAAGGGTCCTACCGACCTACCAAGCTCAGTTGCGGAGACCTCCAAAGTTTGTGTCAGCCCTAATTTGCAGAGGCCCGCAGTGTACGGCCTTAAGGCCCTAGACCTTTGGAACCCTAAACCCTAAACCCTAAACCCTAAGGCCCTAAGCCGTGCCTGCAGCTTGCGCCGCCACACGGATGGCAGCTCCGCAGCATCTTTACAGGGGCTGCAGAGAATGGAAGGATAGGGTGCTTAACTTGAGGGAGGGTGGTTTAGGGTTTAGGGTTTAGGGTGTAGGGTTTAGGGTTTAGGGTTTAGGGTTTAGGGTATGTAGCCCAAGGCTCCCCAATACCCCCCACTCCTCCCTAAGGAAACCGAAGCTGCCCTAAGGTTCCCTAGGTACCTAGCTCCCATGAACCCCCCCTCCCTTAGAGATGGAAGCACGGGTTGTTCCGAGGGCTTCTGACAGTTTACAGGGCTTAAGGTTCACGGCTTGGAGTTTAGGGTTTAGGGTTTAGGGTTTAGGGTTTAGGGTATAGGGTTTCGGTTGGCCACTTCAAGGGTTCTCACGGAATTGCCCATGGTCTAATCAGGGGTGATACTGCGTGGGATTCAAGGAGACGGTGCCTCTTACACGGCAACCCTAATCGCTGAACCTCCCCTAAGCCCGGAACTACCCAAACCTTGCGACAAAAATTGCCAAACGCCTGAACCCCCCCCTTGATCCTTATCCTTAGATCTCGCGCCCGACCCCGTGACACCCTCTGTCCGACTCTATCCCCAAAGCCTGCCCCGCCTAAACCCTCATCCCAAGGCCCACACCCTTAAACCCTAAGCTCAAAGTGAGCCCCGAAACCCCTACGTCACCCTGATCCCCGACCCCGCTGACTAAACCCCGAACCTCCCAGCCCAGGGGGTAG